CCCAACAGCTTCCCCACAAGGCCTGGGAGATGCAGATCTTCCATGGTGGCGGGACCGTTTCAATAGCAGTCTCTCCTTATGCGGTGCCGCTTTTGATGTAAAATTTAAACCACTGGGTTGGCGTGAGATATAACTTACTGTAACCCATCAGCTCGTGTTTTTGAGCGGCAGGCTTAGATTTTTCCCGAGAGCGCCTGCGAAGGGTTCTTCGTAAAAAGGCAACCGTTATATACATCTTCACACCTTCACACCTGCTGATCTACATCTTCACACCTTCACATCTGCTGATCTACATCTTCACACCCTCACATCTGCTGATCTACATCTTCACACCTTCACATCTGCTGATCTACATCTTCACACCCTCACATCTGCTGATCTACATCTTCACACCTTCACACCTGCTGATCTACATCTTCACACCTCACATCTGCTGATCTACATCTTCACACCCTCACATCTGCTGATCTACATCTTCACACCTTCACATCTGCTGATCTACATCTTCACACCCTCACATCTGCTGATCTACATCTTCACACCCTCACACCTGCTGATCTACATCTTCACACCTTCACACCTGCTGATCTACATCTTCACACCCTCACATCTGCTGATCTACATCTTCACACCCTCACATCTGCTGATCTACATCTTCACACCCTCACATCTGCTGATCTACATCTTCACACCCTCACATCTGCTGATCTACATCTTCACACCCTCACACCTGCTGATCTACATCTTCACACCCTCACATCTGCTGACCGTAAGGCTCCAACGGTGTCCCTTGCAAGCATGTTTGCTGTACGACAGCGTTATGCTCTCGTTTGTTTCCGGTGCTTCCGTTTGTTTTTGATTGGTTCCGTGCTTTACCGATGCAGGCAATCACATCCGCCACTGGCGCCATGGAACAGGTGAAAAAGAAGATGCAAATACTCTCTGTTTGTGTTTGTGTTCCTGTTTGAGTTTGCGGCGTGTATCCAAGTATATGCCCAATCCTTGCAGCTTCACAGCTGTCAGCAGGAAGGGCTGTCAAGATTCAGAGATGACAAGGGCAAACCGGATCAAGAGAAAGTGGCATCATCGGGCAAGGATGTCAAGAGAAAGAAATGTCAAGGAGAAAGCATTCCAAGAGATGACGCAGACGCAGTCAGCGGCTGTGACAACCAGGTGGCCAGGCTTCGTTCCTAGAGGCTCTCTCTTCTCTTTACCTTCCCTCCTTCGAAACTTCCGTTGCCCGGCATTACTTGAACATAGATAGATAGATAGACAGATAGATAGGTAGGTAGATAGATAGATCGATAGATAGATAGATATCCATGTCGAACCCACCGGTCAGCCCAAAACCCCAAAGCAAAACACCGCCACCACCGGCAAGGTGAGGATGCCCAGAAGATGGGGCTTTGCAGTCGTGGCGGCTGTGGCGTTTCAGATTGGGGTAGTTAGAAGGAAAAATAGATAGCTAGACTTTGGTAACTTTTTTTGTGGTGTGTGTGTGTGTGAGTGTGTGTGTGTGTGCGTGCCTTGGCGCTTTCATGTTTTCCGCAGCCGTGTTTGAGCGATCCTGCGTTGGGTACATCGGCCGAGGTTGCGGTCTTCCTCGTTGCCACCAATGCCCGGCGCAGTCGGCTGCGCAGCGGCGAAACCAAACGCCGCAGGACCTCCGACGTGAAAACGAAACAATCATGCCTCCACACAGAAACGCATCGATCCTCAACCACATTCATGATGATAGATAACACTGATAACACGAATGATGCACAATCAATTAGATCCTACGCGCCCAACACAGATTGCTTGTGCAAATAGGTTGATCACCGATGGCCCGATACATTTCCTCGGACAAAGACTTGAGAGCAGAGTTAAAAAGCTGGACTGGAGGGATGGGTCGAAAAAAATTGCTTCACCTGGAACCTCCATGGCCATCTTACAATTTCGACCGGTGTATCTTGACCCCGCGATTTGCGATGCGCATACGTATGCCAAAATGTAAGGTGCAGGGTCTAGTTCAGGAATCCGCCCATCATGGCTGTGCTTTAGTTTTGCATAGTTTTGTAGAAAATGGTTTGAATAGTCATGCTTTGCCATGCTTGTCCCTGGTTTCTGCAGGTCATCTAATTGGAGATGTAGTGATAACTTTTCAATCATTGTCCAATTAGAATGCACGTTGCATGGATGATTGTGGATGACTTGGCGACGGCAAAGGAGGAAAAAATGCTTTACGTGACCATGACCTCAGCTGGACATGTTGCACTTTTGTTTTTTAAATGCGACATGTTTGTTCCAGGCGTGTCGAGTTGACTTAGAAACTATAAAGGCCCAAACATGTAACATTCCATTTTTAGGTTTAGATCTATATAGGACAGCATATACTACTTTACGTTCTCAGCGGTCCCTAGTAGCAGAATTTCTGAAACTTGCATTTTGACCATACCAAAAATCTATGTTACATTTTCGAGGTCCCCCCTGAAGGTAGTGGGATGATAACATAATATGTTTGTAAACGTTGGTATTTGTCAAGTTTTTGTCGGGTATTGAACATGAAGCTGTTGGTGTGACATGAAACATTATTGGTGAGTAGGTGGATGGGTGGATGGACTGATGACGTTCGATGAGGTGGGCCCCTCCTAAGTTTGACATGCTCGGGGGCTAGTCGTCGGTAGTTTACCAGTAGTACCGCACAAGGCGGTGGCGGAAGTTTCAAAACTAGGAAACCTATAGGAGAGATTGGTTGTTGTGAATCACGGATGACAGAGCGAATCCACCGATGGACCGACAGGTGGTTGGAGTTGTGTTTTTTGGAATGGTTGTAATGGTTGCAATGGTTGCAGTGGTCACCTCGCCGCAACTGTTGGATGTAGTGTGGTGTAGTGCAGTTGTAGTGTAGTGGAGTTGTAGTTGTAAGAAGTAGTAGTAGTAGTAGTAGTCGTCGTCGTCGTCGTCGTCGTCGTCGTCGTGGTCGTCGTGGTCGTCGTCGTCGTCGTCGTCGTCGTCATCCTAGTGGTGGTGGTGGTGGGAATGTCGAATCACGGATGGCAGAGCGAATCCACTGATGGACCGCCAGGTGGTTGGAATGTCGAATTATGAAATTTGTCTATCCATCCATCCATTCATCTATCCTTCTTTTCTCTCTACTGATCTATATTATCTGTCTGTCAACCTATCTATCTATCTACCTATCTATCTATTTATCTATCTATCTATCTATCTATCTAATTAACCTAATCTATCTATCTATCTAATTAACCTAATCTATCTATCTAATTAACCTAATCTATCTATCTATCTAATTAACCTAATCTATCTATCTATCTATCTTTCTATCTATCTATCTATCTATCTATCTATCTAATTAACCTAATCTATCTATCTATCTTTCTATCTATCTATCTATCTATCTTTCTATCTATCTATCTATCTACCTATCTATCTATCTAATTAACCTAATCTATCTATCTATCTAATTAACCTAATCTATCTATCGATCTATCTGTCTATCTAGCTATCTATCTATCTATCTGTCTATCTATCTATCTGTCTGTTTGTCTGTCTGTCTGTCTGTCTGTCTAATCTATCTATCTATCTATCTGTCTATCGGCAAGCTTGGAAGCGAAGCTATTTTGCGACACTTCCTCAGTTTTTGAACATGACAACATCAAAAACGCGGCAATTCAGCGAGACTTCCTCAATTATTGAACTTGACAACATCCAAAACGAAGCAATTCTGCGAGACTTCTTCAATTTTTGAAGTTGACAACATCAAAAACGAAGCAATTCTGCAAAACTTCCTTCAAAAATGGAAAGTTGAGTGCAGAGCTGACGGCCTCGTACCAATGCGTTTTGCGATTTTTCCACTCCACCTGTCTAAAGTACTGCGCCTGCCACGAAAAAGTGATGCCAGGTCATACGAAGTGTTGCACCTGTCACGCAAAATCATCTCAGCAAACCTACAGATCTGATGCTCCAAAATGCAACCCCTCTCAGGAAATCAGCGCCCGGACCTCCTAACAGCTCTGATGAACATGTCTCTTGTATTGCGCCTGCCACGGAAAATGCATCTTTGCAGATCCTCTTCAAATGTTCCACGCCTGCCTGCCATCGTTTTTGAAAATGCGACAAAACCCTCACGTTAAGGTGCACAATCCCTTGCGCCTGCCACGCGAAACGACATCTGAACGTCCAAAAGTGGTCCGAGCATGTGGTGTTTTTCACATTTTGATTTCGAAATGTGCTTCGCGCCACAACGGCGTGCACTTTTTCGACATCGCAACTTCCAAAAGTGCTCCGAACGTGAGCTGCTTTTAGCGTTTTCACTTGCAAATGTGCTTCGCGCCACAACGCCGTGCATTTTCTCGACAGCGCAACTTGTAAAAGTGCTCCGCAGCTGAGGTGCTTTGTACATTTTGATTTCGAAATGTGCTTTGTGCCACAACGGCGTGCAATTTTTCATCTCTCATCTGGCCAGCTGGCTTCGCACCCGCCGCTTTAGCGAGCCTACTCTTCGACCCTCCGGAGCCACAAATCATTGGAAAAACACCGTGTTTCGCGACTTTCCTACATTTTCGCGCACCTGGATCTTCTTTCTTCTGAGACTTTCTTTTTTGTGATCTTCTTTCTTCTCTTCTCTTCTCTTCTCTTCTCTGACTCTTCCCATCTCTGCTTTTCATCTGTCCATATTGTCGGAAGTTTGACTTCTAAACTTCCTTTGATGAGTTGTTTGTGGTGGAGAGGTTTATGGTCGTTTTCGAGATACACCAACCGCGGCACCCCACAAACTAGATTCTAGATTCTTTTTCCCCGGCCGTTTGAAATTATCCGCCACGTGATTGTTTTAAACAATTCTTTGTTTTCTCCACGCAGTGCATGTGCCTACTGACTCTGTAAGCACACTTGTCCATTTAATGTGTTTTTTTGGTGTTTGCAATGTATGTTGCCGTTGAGTTAAATCAAATCAGTTTTAATGCAGCTGGCCATCAATTGGCCGTGGCTTGCTGCAGGTATTGCATGTGCCAGAAAGTCCCTTGGGGTGGGCGTTTGGAACCAGGCCGGAGCGCCTATCGTGAGCTGACATCCTTGACTGGTTGGGGTGGTTTCAAGAATTGGAGATGTTCATTCCTAATATGGGTTTGTCCCAAAATATGGCGGTAGTCAAGGCTTTGGTAAACCATTTGATCTAGGGGTTCCAGCATCTGATAAAAAATCTGAGTACATGTCAATACCAAGCTACCTAAATTCAGATTTATATCCCCCCTATAAACATATGCATTTTGGCCAGCCGATCCCAACATCTTATTTAGCAGGGTTGAGAAAGGTTTGGTATTGTCTGGGAATGCAAGGGCTTGCAACTTTAAGCCAACAAAGGAACCAGGGAACGTGGGAACCCCCCATTGGTCGGGGTGAAACCCCAGGGACAGCCACATTGGCAGTGGTCTTTGGCGGGCAGTGACAAGTCAAACGTTACCTGTTAATGTGTGTTCCTTTGCACATATCAGCAACCACGATCACCCGCCAATACAAACAAATGATCGCTTTTGGGGAAACAAAAGTGTAATTGTTGTGGTCTTGTCTGCGCCAACCAGATCTTTATCAAATGTATGTCTGCCAAACACTGTATCAAATTTCCCTACCGTTTTCTTTTACCATTTATCCCTTCCAAATATATCTTCAATGCAAACCTTCACCAAACTTATCTATAGCATGTTTCTCCGTTTGGCCCCATCACCCATTGAAGTTCCTTCGTTGATTCTTGTTTGTAGCCCAGTTTGCGCAATATATATATAATATCTGTTTATATATTCCAGTTTTCTAGTTCATCGAAATTGGCCAACATGGCGTGCCCATTCCTTCAAACATGACTGAATTCGAAAAGTGGTTTGAACCATGATTTTCTTTTTCTTCTTCATTATCACAACCATCATGATCATCAACGCGAGTCATTATCATCCTCATTATGAATCATTATAATCCTCATTATGCACCATTATCATCATCATCATTGTCATCATCGTCTTCATCGTCATCATCATCATCATCATCATCACCATCATCATCATCATTATTACCAGTAGCACCGCATAAGGTAGGAGAGCTTGGTTGTTGTGAATCACGGATGGCAGAGCGAAGCCACTGATGGATCGAAAGGTGACTGATGTCTCCTCTCTTTCTCTCTCTTTTTCTCTCTTTCTCTGATTATCTACCTACCTACCTACCCACCGATCTATCTATCTATCTATCTATCTATCCATCTATCTATCTATCTATCTATCTTTCTCTC